CTGTTGTTTTAGCTGTTCATATGATAAGTGATGTTCAGGCTGTTGATTTGGTGACTGCTGTTGTTGTAATTGAGCATGCTGTTGTGGTTGTTGTTGTTGTGCGGTTGCTTTTGTGGCTGTTGTTGTATCTGTTGTTGTGACTGTTGTTTTAGCGGTTCAGGCTTTTGGTTTGGTGACAGCTGTTGTTGTAATTGAGCCTGTTGTTGTGGTTGTTGTTGTTGTGGCTGTTGTTGTTGTAGCTGTTGTGGTTGCTGCTGTTGTTGTTGTGGCTGTTGTTGTTGTAGCTGTTTTAGCGTTCCAGGCATTTGTTTTGGTGACTGTTTTTGTGGTTGTTGCTGTCGTATCTGTTGCTGATGTAATTGATTTGGTGGCTGTTGTGGCTGTTGTTGTTGATGCTGTTGATGTAATTGTGTCTGTGGTGGCTGTGGTTGGGGCAGCTGCTGTTGTTGTGACGGTTGTTGGTCCGGTAGCGAATGTTGCTGCATTTTTTGATACGGCTTCTGTTCATGTGTCGGCTGTATTTGTGGTAGCAGTTGTTGCGATATTTGGGCATTTTGTTGTGGCTGTTTCTTTAGATTTTCTTGCGATTGTTTAAGTGATGGCTGATGTCGTTGCTTCGATAGCTGTTTCGATAGCTGTTTTGATAGTTTTTGTTTCGGTATTTGCTGCTGTTGTAGTTGTGGTTGTGTAAGCTGTTTTTGCGAAAGCTGTGATAGCTGGGGTGAAGGTTGTTGTTTTAGTTTTTGTTGTTCTGTTAGCTGTTTTAGTGGTTGTTGTGGCAGCCGCTGTTGTAGCTGTTGTTTTTTTAGCTGTTTTTGAAGCTGCTTTTGTAGCTTTTTTGATAGCCGTTGCTGATTTTTTTGCTGCTTTGGTTGAATGTTCTGGTTGGGCGCGGCGTTTGAAGGAATTTTTTCAATTTTCTTTCTCCGCATTTGCTGCTTTTTCTTTAAAATATTTCGCAGGCTCCGTAGCAACCTGATGTCAGTGGTTAACTGGTGATGCAATTGTTAATAGTTGTTGCCAAATTAAATAATTATTTTTTTCAAATTAAGTAATTTATGAGCATGCAGAAAATCATATAAAATCAAGTTAGGGCCACTTCGATTTCTTCCAATCTAAGCTACTTTTTTAAATTAGTTTATCAATAAAAATCTTAGCTACTTGTTTATCAATATATAGAACTCTTAATGATTCTAGTGAAATTGTAAAATGTATTCCAAACTTTTTTGAAAAGATTAATTTTAGATATGGCGTTATGGAACGGCCTTTCATACAGACATCTTACGTAAAAAATGCAGGGAAATTCATCTAACTTGTTCAGAGTTGCGCAAATCCAACTTGAGCGTTTAATTGGGTATTAACTATTAAATTAAGCATCAAGATCTTCGCAATAAGCATTACATAAAATTAATAATGTATCTGCTAAGATTATATTTTATGTTTACAACACGTCAGCAAACATTTAAATATAACAACGCTACAAAACGGTGCAGGAATATTTTAAAAATAAATTTTTGACGGGACGTTGAAAATGCTAAAATGAAACCAAAATATAAAAATGCTGAAATGTTCAAATAAATAATTAATTACGTCAAAATTTTAATCATAAATAATTAGGTACGAAAAGAATTCAAACAAAAGAATTGAACTATTGCAAGTGACATCGCAAGTCCACAAGTTTGGGCTTGCATCCAAGTATGGGTTGTAATGGTAGAAAGGGCAATTCTAACCTAAAATTCAGTAAATGACTTTTGGTGTCTTAGACGAAAACATTAAACTATAAAAAGAAATTGAAACATAGCATTTGACCTTGAAGCATTAGCGTTATTACCTTTTACATTTCAGCTCGCTCACCCATATCAGCCGTCAGTTTCTTGTACTAATTCTAACGTGATGTTATCAGATATGATCTGCAAACTGGAATGACATTGTTTTCGTTTCCAGTAAAGTGCCAATGGGCAAGACCAATATAAAGTACTATAGACAAGATTTCTGCAATTTTAAATATGTTTTCGGTTGAGTGAAACTTAGATGGATGAAATAATTTTTTTATTATGGACATTAACTTTTAGTTATAACTGAATTCACTTTTAATGCAAACAAGTCTAATATCGCTCCGTCAATGTTTGTGAAGTACGATTTATTTTTTTATTTTTCTAATTAATTTTTAACTTTATTTGCATTTTATTGTTTCATTTTTTTATATATAGTTTCATTTATATGTTATTATTGGATCTCTTTTTATTTGCTCAGTTTTACTTTTAATGTTGCTTAGGTTTGGTTTACCCACGATTTTGTTAGCTTGCTTTTTGTTTTGTAGCATCTATTAAAATTACATAAATAAACTAATTAATAACTAAATAAACTTTATTTAGTAATTTATTCTTATTTTATTTATTTTTTAGTTTAGATTTTAGATTTAGATTTTATTTGAATTATTTGACAAGTTAGTTAGTTACTTTACTAACTTTGATTTGAACTTTTCATTAAATTTAAATTTTTTTCACTATTCAATGGTAATTTTCATTTTAATTTTTTAATTTAAATGTTTTCCAAATGATTAATGATGCCTGCACAAAACTCAATTTTTCCTTAAGCTTGTTTGTCTTGTTTACATTGCATTGTCACTGTAATGAAATGCAAGGATTTTTAATTTATTTATAATAGTATAAAATTATTTATTTTATATAATATAGTAAAATTGTTTTTTTTTATTTTCAAAACTAGGACTAATTTTATTATTTTTATAAGTTAATTTTTGTTTAATAATATTTTTCGTTGACAGATCAACCAACTCTATAAATTTCAAAAACTGATAAAAAAGCCCAACCAAATGAGTCTGGCAGATGATGAACAATTGGACGTAGTAGAAATTGATGCAAATGAGAGTTCAATAAAATCACACAACTTCACAATATGTAGGGACAAAGATGGCAGTATGGAGGTTTACCGGGTGGATGTCTTTCAACAGCGCAATTCTCTCATGTTGTGGATTGGGGACGGAAGGTGTCAGTTCAATGCACTGGCCGTCTCCATGTACACTAAATATGTCTGTATTTTCGTATTATAGTGCTTTTTTGTTTTTTGTTATTTATTTACTGTCAAAATTAACTTTTAAACTGTTTATTGCATCGAAATAAATTTGTTAATGTCTTTTATGTTAAAGAAATTTATGGCATTGTTTTATGTTTTTAGGTATTTTTTTAATAAATATATGATGTCCTGAGAAGTTAGTTATTTAATAACTTCTAGTTTTCTTTCATTCATCTTGTAGTCAGCAATTTTTTTTTGATTTTGAAATTAAAATTGACAAAATCAAGTCATTCACAATCAGCTATTAACCTTTTTTCTCGATCATCCCACTTTTCAAAATGATCTCACGTAACCAAGGTCAACAGTTACTTCTTTTATTCAATTATCCTAATTAATTTAACAGTTTTTCATAATGATCCAACTTACCAGGATTAACCATTCACAATTATCAATTTTAACAATTATCACATCAACCAGGATTAACAATTATCCCTTTTTGGCAATTATCCCATCAATCAGAATTAATAATTATCCCTCTTTCACAATTATCCCTTCTACCAGGATGCAATCCCATCCTCCCTTAACTTATATGGTGACAACAGCAACGAAATCTCACGAAACCTTTCTAAAAAGTTAGGTAGGTTATGTTTTAATTTTCTTTTTTTGAAAGTTATTTTCTTAATTTGTGAAAAAAATTTGGTAAATTGTTTTCTAAAATGGTTTTACAATTTTAATAATATAAATTTTTTATTTTAATTTAGTTATTCAAGTTTAATCAACTTAAAAAAAAACTGGATTCATAATTTAGGTAGTAAATAACTAAATGTTACAAACTTTCAATATAATTCTTTAAAAATATAATTATTTATGACGTAACTTTTAATATGTTATTTTAATTTAAATAATTTAAAATGTTTTAAATTTTAAATAATATAAAATGTTTTAAAAGCCACAAAGACCAAAAAACAGGTTTACGCGAGTTACAATTGTAAAGAAGATGATAATTTGGTTGCATTCATTGAGGCTGAACTCTTTCAAAAAATTAAATTGAACCCTGAATTGTTTTAACATCTTTTTTTCAATTAATTAACTACAATTAAATTTAATTATGGCTATATTTAATTAATTTTATATTTTATTATGATTCCATCTGTAATTTTACCTGTAATTAATTATAATTATGGACAGGACATTGGGAGAGATGGATCGTATATAGTATTTATTACATAATTTTGTTACCTTTGATACATTTAGTATTTTTTATCTATACCATGTTTCATGTAAAAGTAAATTCCAACCTAAAAAAACACTGTAGATATCATGATATCATCTTTTATTAAGTTTCAATAGACTCTCAGGTTAAAAGAGAACTATTTGAACTAAAACTCGGAGTGAACAAATGGAAAAATGTAAATTTGCTCGTCGCTACCGAGATCAATTTATAAAATCCTTATATCTCTTTCAAACATGGATTTTGTACGTGTAGGCTGTCATATTTTTTAGTTACAATTTTCACTTCATCGCTGTGAAATTTCATCTGAATAACTTGAGAGAAATACATCTTGATTAAACTAGATAAAGATGGCCAAGAATTGAAACGATTTAGACAAAATTTGACAAATTTTTCTTAAAAAACTTTATTTATAGCACTTAACAACATAAACTAGTCCGATGAATGTTCACTACAAATATATATTGAATAACCTAAAAAATGCTCAACTATCTTTTACCCAGATGATTTCTACATTCTCATTTTCTACGCTGGTTATAAACTTAATCAAACGCAATATTTTCAAGAAACACATGAACACGATACAGTTACGAATTCAACACAACGGTAACAGGTTTAATAAAATATTTTAAGTATAAGTAAATAGGTTCATGATAGGACGCACAAAATTTATTCCTGGCTACTTATTAAATAATAATTTGACCAACAAAGCCATATATATTTTATCTTAAGAAAAATGTTAATAAGAATTAATATATATGGACAAAACTAGTCAGTTCTTTAAAGACTTGTTAACCAAAATACAATAATTTGAAAAAAACCGAATAACTCGAAAATATTACGACCTAATTTCGTCAAACTTTTCCTAAAATTTCTAAACTCACCATGAAATTTCCAACTTAAAGAAATCCCTTAAAGGAACATATTTGAGAGATTAACAGAGTGGCAAACAGTAGCACTATTGGGAACCTATATGTCATTAATTTGAATACAGAAACAAGAATATAACAATCTTTGACATTAAACTTGACATCAAATTAAATTTCTTAAAAAATATAAAAAAAAGATCATTTTTGTAAAAAAAACATTGTTTCACATAGAATTAAATTTGAGATGTGACTCGCTAATACTTTTTACACGTTTGCAAATGAGATTTGTTAATTTTATCGTACTAAATACAAATAATACAAAATACATACAAATAAAAAAACACAAATAAAAATATTCTATACTTTAAATGAAAGAAGACATACGCAAAACATACACGTCAAAAAATAGTTTAATAAACGAGTGAATCATACCAATAACCAAGAATGATGAGATGTGAGATCGATAAATCAGATGAAAAATAATTAAATTAATTATGAAGCTAATTAAATGTGATTAATTAATTGACTGGGTGTTGGGACAGAAATCCTCCCAAGTGAAAATTAACGATAAATTTCATAAATATTCGAAATATCTCTGACCAGATTGCGTTCAGTTTTGAAATTTTGCGTTTGTAAGAGTTTGACGAATAAGAAAAACGTGATGAATAATAAATTAATTTACTACGATGATGTTGATGGCAATGATGATGCTGCACATACGGTTATGGCGACGACTAGAATGACGATATGGTGACGACGACTACGCGCTGATGCTGTAGCTGCTGCCATCACGTCACGACCACTGGATGAAATTAAAATTCTCGACAGTCCTCAAATATGAATCTTCATAATTCCTGTTGAAATTCAACGTACATGAATGCTATCATCCTAGAAATTCAATTTGTGTTACATGGGTGTGTGTTATTGTAGCAGCATGTTCTAACCCAAGCAAGCCAGTCTTATTTGACAGTGCTTTTTAACTACAATTCAATTTATCAACAACACTAACAAGAGGGTGCGGTTTATATCCAAAGCAACAAAGACAATACAAATAAATATTATTAACAGAGTTAATGAAATTTGACGATGAATGTGAATCAGTATTGATGGGTGTAGGTTCAATTCCTGTTCAACGTATGAAACTTGATAACCCTGCTACAAAAGGCATCTCAACTGACTGGAAACTCAAGTGAGATAAAATAAGATTGAGCATGTTCAACTAGCTGTGATGAAGAAGCCGGGTTCGAAACCCGCAGAAAACAACCACTCGTTGAAGAATTCAAATGGTCTGTAATACGATTGTTGTGTGAATGAAGTTCTGGATGGATCAAGATGGGATTGGAATGGGATTAGAATGGATTGAGATGGGATTAGAATGGGATTATTTATCTGAGATTATCATAACAAAATTTATAATGTCACAAACGAACCATTTCAAATTGATGACGATTGATTGGTCAGGATGATGACGATCTTTACAAGAATCATCGTCATCATCATCGTCGTCGTTGTAGTGCTTGTGCAAGATTTTCATGTTTTCGTTGTTGTTTACAATGAACTTGGACATGATATCTAACGCTCTTTTATCTGAATGAGTGAGTGAGTGAATGAGTGAGTGAGTGAAGAGAGTGAATGATTAGTGAGGGAATGAATGCGTAGAGGATTGAAACCAAATTGGAAGTGAATTAGAAAAGGAGCCAAAGACATCCCACCGTTCATCCGACTTAGCAAACTGGTGAGGATGATATCGTACTTATCACCGCCTGGCAGAAAGTCATCATCATCGTCATCACAACAAATATTACCACTACTACTATCACCACCACCACTACTTCCGGCGTCATTATCCTTAATGACGTCATCGCTTCCGGTGGTTTTTGTCTTAAATTTTTTTCTTCTATCCTTAGAACTCTTGCTTTTAGCATTGTCTCCGTTTCTGTGTTTATTATTATTATTATTATAAATAAATAAATAAACTTCGAAAATTATTAAAAAGTTAGATTATTCGAGTTTAATTTCTGAAATAATGAGATTAGTAATTGAATTGGAAATGACCATTCTCTGAAAAGCCTCCCAGTGCACACGCGCACACGCACACACACGCAAACAAACATACACGCACATACACATACACGAGATATCATTAAGATAACGTAATGACGATAGCAACATGACGGTGACGTCAAACGATGAGTGTGTAACTAACGAGACGTGCTTCTCTTTCCAGGCTTTCTTCCTCTCCTCCATGTTTAGAAGGTTGAACTCGCCGAGATCTAATGTTTTTTGTTTTTTTTTTTGAAAGAGAGAGAGAGAGAGAGAAAGAGAGAGAGAGAGAGAGATCTGATGTTTAATGAGGTTGCGAGTGAAATATTGAAGGAGCATGTTGTTGGAGATGATCGTCCATCATTTAACATCCATCTATGTATACTATTCGTTAAATTCAGTCGCATCATCCAGTTTATACTACTAGTGAATCAGATTTTCACTTATTCATTCACTCACCCACTCCGTTCTTTCATTCATTAATTAAATTCTTTTATCTATTCGTTCATTCATTCACTCCTTCATTCATTCATTCATTCGTTCGTTCATTTGCTAACTCCTCACTCACTCATTCACTCACTCACCATAATTCTTCTTGACGATGTGGTCGACCATGGATCGGCACACCCGCATCACCTGCGTCCACCCATCATCATTATCATCATCCATCTTCATCACCACCCTCACTCTTGTCCACTGCTCTTCAAACATCTTCAACAAACCTCTCAGCGATTCAACTAAAACCTGAGTTTGTGAGTGAGTGAATGAATGAGTGTGTGAATAAGTGAGTGAGTGAGTGAGTGAGTGAGTGAGTGAGTGAGTGAGTGAGTGAGAAAACAGTTGACTGCAAATAAACTTACAAATTTTCCACCAACGGACCAGCAAACCAACCAACTAGCCACCCAACCAACCAGCCAGTCAACAAAAGACCTTATATAAGAGGGATCCAATTTTCTTTTTCTTTCGGTCATCCCCAGCCACATCCTCTTCCTCTCCATCCAACAACAACAACGTCATCATGACGTCATCATGTTGGATGTTGTTCTTCAGGATGTAAGCGATCAAGTGACGTTCCATGTCTTCCGGCTTTATCTCTAACGTTAATGACGATGGTGGTGATGATAACATAATGATGGTTATGATGATAATGATGACGATTGCAAAGATGGTGATGATGACGATTGCAAAGATGGTGATGATGATAATGACGACAACGATGATGATGACGAGTTCTAAAGTGAAACAGACCAACAGGGAAGAACGCTACAACGAGCAAAACTGAATCTCAACAAAAACACCACAAAAAGCAAAAACATCCCAACAACAACAACCAGCCACAACATCCACAGCCACAACATCCACAGCCACAACAGCACCGGCAAGCCACCTTTATATGCGTCACCCGACCACAGCAGATGAGTGGTGGTAGGGCGACAGCCACAGCACAATCGATCCTCAGGAAATACGTTGAAGACTTTCACATCATCATCATCGTCGTCGTCGTCACCATGATGATGATGATGAGGGGTGAGTGGTTGATGATACTTATGATTACGACGTGGAGGAGGAATCGGTTGAAAAGCGGCTGCTGATGCTGCTGACGACGACAACAATGATGATGACGATGATGATGATATGATAATGAGAAAATTTACGGAAATGATGTGACTTATTACAATGATATCACAAAGATGATAATGATGATGATGATTGTGATGATGATGACGACGACGACGATGATGATAATGGTGATAGCAATGACGGTGATCATGATGATGATGATTAAGACTTCAGAATCAAAGATGATGATGTTGAAAAGCAGAAGGTTGACGATGAAGATGATAGCATCAAATAATAACGAATACGACGACGATGATGATGGAGATAATGAAGTGGTGATGATAATGATCACGAAGGGTTGATGATTACGATGACTCAAAGTGTTGATGATGATGACGACGATGATGATGATGATGACGATGATGATAGGTGTTGATGATGATGATGATGACGATGATGATGATGATGACGACGATGATGATGATGATGACGATGACGATAGGTGTTGATGATGATGACGATGTTTCGATACCTGGTCTTTGGGAATAGATATCTGAGATTGGAAGGATGTTGTGCGGGGTTTGCAGCTGCAACAAGCTGTGTATCACCTCCAAGAAGCTGACGATGGTGGTGGTGGTGGAAACGGTGGTGGTGGTCAGATGAAAATGAGATGATGATTATGATGATGGTGGTTGTTAAAGAATCATGGTATAAGATGGTTGACATGATGGTGATGATGAGGAGACTGATGATGACGATGACGACGACGAAACCAAGATGATGCTGAAGAGGACAATGAAACCAGTGAACAAGAATATGAATGAGTGAATGAGAATATGAGTGAGTGGGTGCGTGAGTGAGTGAATGAGAATTTGAGTGAGTGAGAATGAGTGAGTGAGAGTGAGTGAGTGCGTGAGTGAGTGAGTGAGTGAATCGTCAACAAACCCGATAAAAGAAGCTTCAAAGTGCCTACTTAAAAATGACCTGACGGGTGACACCTGGCGGCATGCGAGGTGGTGAGGTGATAGTTAAACGTTATCGAGATTAATTTCATCATTTGTGTTTCAATCAACCATTAACAACATCTGATCTACAGAATGATCTAAGAAAGAGTGAATGAACAAACTTTTGAACCATCTTGCGAACGAACGAACGAACGAACGAATGAACGAACGAACGAACGAACGAATGAGTAAATCATCAATCAATCAATCAATCGATCGATCAATCAATCAATCAATCAATCAATCAATCAATCAATTAGTCATTCAATCAACCTTGTTGAAAAGTTCCATTGGATTATTAGGACAGCACCTGGTATGTGTCGAGTGATTTAAAATTTAATATTTGAGTATACTGCTAACAGTTCTGATTATAAGTTGTGGTTTATTTGTTGTTCAACAATTTTACAAGAATATAAAACACAACTAACACGAACATCGCCGAAATAATCAACATCACACAAAACACCAACAAAACAACGACATCAACAACAATATCAACGACAACTAACAATAACAACAAACAACAACTTCAACAACACACACCAACAACAACAACTAACTAACTAACAACAACGACACAACAATAACAACACACAACAACTCCAACAACAACAACACACATTAACAACAACTCCAACAACACACACCAACAACAACACACAACTCCAACAACAACACACAACAACAACACACAACTCCAACAACAACACACAACAACAACACACAACAACAACAACAACGCAACAACAACAACACACAACAACAACACACAACAACACACAACAACACAACCAACCTCCAAGCAACAGTCTTAACGACATGAAACATTTCCACGCCACATCCAACTAGGACGTCACAAATCGTCACCACCATCATCTTTATCCTCCGCATCTCACCAGCCACATCCCCCTCATCCTTGTCGCCACCACCATCGCCACCACCACGATCTTCGCCACCACCACGATCTTCGCCACCATTTTTCCTCTTTCCGGTCTTCACTCTCACCTCAAGTAGGTGTCTGTAGCGAGAGGTCAGGGCCGTCAGTAGATCAGTGCTCATTTTTTGGCGATTCGCTAGCAGCAGCTTTCGTATGAAATTACAAAAAATTGTAAAAGAAATATAACATTTGGCAATTAAATTATTAAATTAATAACGTAAGAATTGAATTCAGACCCTTATTCTATAAGAAGAATTTAAGCGAACTGTGAGATGGAATTCAGTTAAATGATCAGACGAGTTGAAGAACGTTGTGTGACTTTATACTATTGATAAATAAAATCCACGTGATGCGATTGAACCGTTATTCATCAATGGCTCATGTGGTAGGATCGCTGATACGTTTAAACAAACAATTGCACGGTGACCTGGTTCAAATACATGTACGTACAGTACACCAAAAAACAACTTATAAAATTAGACCGACAGGAAGAATCTGTTCGCAGTCGAACCAGGTCCGCATGAAATAAAAGGAGACAGGATTGGGCGATTTATCCTTTCGGCTACAGAACAAACTCAAGCAACCTGTAGGAGAACATTCTTCTTGTCTATGGGATCCTTAATGAACATCTCATGAGCAATGATGATTTCTGGATGTCTGTCGTTGTGATGATGGTGATGATGGTGGTGAACATGAACGTGATGGTGAACATGAACGTGATGATGATGATGAAGAACATAATGGTGGGTGGTTAAGTTGTTGAATCCGACGAAGATGGCAAAACGATGCCTATGGTAATGATAGCGACTGAAACTTGGCTGAAATCATCAAACTTATTTGTCAAATGTATCAACTCATTTAATTATTTAATTAATTAATTAATTTATTTATTTATTAATTAATTTATTAACTTATTCATTATTTAATTCTTAACCTGTAAGCTCTCCAGGCAGGGCTGACCAAAACAATCCAACGATCAACCTCGACCTTGGCTTGCTTCTCCTCCCTGAGGGATGATAGGTTGGTTAAAGTGAAGTCAACGACTCACACGCAACTACAAAAACATGTTAACAACAACAACAACAACAACAAATAACAACTACTACTATTACTACTAAAAAGCACCATAAACAACAACGACAACAAAATACCAAAACAACAAACAACAACAACAAAATACCAACACAACAAAAAATAACAACAAAATACCAAAACACCAAACAACAACAACAAAATACCAAAACAACAACAACAAAATACCAAAACAACAACAACAAAATACCAAAACAACAAACAACAATAACAAAATACCAACACAACAAAAAATAACAACAAAATACCAAAACACCAAACAACAACAACAAAATACCAAAACAACAACAACAAAATACCAAAACAACAACAACAAAATACCAAAACAACAAACAACAATAACAAAATACCAACACAACAAAAAATAACAACAAAATACCAAAACACCAAACAACAACAACAAAATACCAAAACAACAAAATACCAAAACAACAACAACAACGCCACATAAACTACAAACATACACTGATAGGTTGATGGAGTTGACTAGAGACATGAGCTTGGCGCAGGCGACATTGAGACCATACAAGTCCTTGTTGAAGATCGGATGCAACATCTCTTCAGCGGTTGCGCAACATCTCAGCAACGACTCCAAACACGTCGACGACAACAGCTTCACGTTCGCTCTACATCGATGAAAAGAGTTAATTGTAATAAATTTGGTTGGCGGGATAGCTCAGGCGGCAGGAGTGCCATTTTTAGCGAAGTTATTGCGTGATGATTCGGTTCGAATGCCGTCCGAAGCTCAAGTTTTGCACATGTCAGAGATGTATGATAAGAAACAAACAAAAAACAAAATCATTTTAGAAGATTATTTCGAATTTCATCTGGGCGTTTTCGAAACTATTTAGTGCTTTTTAAGATCAATCAAAAAGCTCGTAATACAATTTAGAAATACAATACAATACAAAACGATACAATAAAATACAACACAAAACAAAGCAATACAATACAATCCTACATACACAATACAATACCATATTTCAATTAATTAATTAATTAAAATTAGTCAAACTAATTAAAGTCAAATTTAAGAGCGATAAAAACTTCAATTGATTCATCTTGACGATGTCGCGAGGAAAATTCTTATGCAGCCTGGTGCAGAGGTTGACGTAATGATCCAGCGACGCCTTCAACATGCAACTCATCATACAGGTATATATATTATTTGGTGATGGTACCGCTGATGATGTAGACGATGACGCAGATGATGATGGCGTTGATGTAGTAGTAGTAGTAGTGGTAGTAGCGATGGTCTCTAAGTCGTTGAAGTATTTGTCGAAGATGTTGTTGAACCAGGCGATCGTGAGACACCAATTCCTTACTGAGAAGTTCGTGATCTAGGGTTGGTTGGTTGGTTGGTGGGTGATGGTTTTGTTTTTGTTGCTGGTTGTGTTGTGTTACATAATAAGTCGTTGTTTTGATGTTTTGTGACGTGAATGATGTCATTACTGACGATGAATTTAAATGTTTATGTAGTTGTCGCCGTGTCTGCACTGTTGTTAATTGAGAATGATAGTAGTTGTCATATTTTTGTACGTAAATTGAAGGTTTTGCTGCATCTTTCGTGTGTGTGAATGTTAATAGCAGAAGTCTGTGGCTGTGGTGGTCTGTGGCTGTGGTGGTCTGTGGTTGTGGTGGTCTGTGGTTGTGGTGGTCTGTGGTGGTCTGTGGCTGTGGTGGTCTGTGGCTGTGGTGGTCTGTGGCTGTGGTGGTCTGTGGCTGTGGTGGTCTGTGGCTGTGGTGGTCTGCTGTCGTCGTAACCGTTGATGTAATTTGGTTGAGGTTGTTGTTACTGATGTGAATGTTGTTGGCGTTGTTGGTGTTGTTTAACTGATGTTGCAGGCTGCCAGATCAAAAGTGAAGAAATATCTTTCAGTCAATGAAAAAATTCAAATCAATGATTAACCTTGAACTTTGTGTCGACCTTGAAAAAATCATCATCACCAAGGTCAGCTCTTTTCAGACCGCCATCGCGATTTTCACTGTCGGGCACATCCCTGGACCCCCCAGATTCAGTGGACTCTCCCAGTACACTGTTCTCTTCAGATGACCACATGGACTCAATGAAGAGGTTGGTCATCATCATGGTGGTCAGGTGGGTGACGTGGGAGAGAGCTCTCAGACAGATACTGATTAGTTAGTTGACGATGATTGGTTGAATTGTTTGCTAGGTGCTGGGTGATTGGTTGGGACGGTTGTTACATAAATTCCGATCGGTAGAGAGATGCTCATTATCATTAGCGATTGGCAGAATTAATTAAGTGAAAGATGATTGGTTGAGAGAATTCATCATGTCATCTACTTTTGGCTGAGAGGCCAATTAGGTGAGTGATGATTGGGTAATGTGATAACTGTGATGACTGATTGTTCGTATACATATATAAGGTGATATCATATGCAATGTGTATGATGCGTGGTTTGCACGCGTATTCATATACGCTGTGTGTGTTTGTCGTTGAAACCTCTGAAGCTAACGCAATAGAGAGAGTAACCTTTAACCTTTTTTAACCTTCAACCTTTAAAACAAAAAGTGGATGGAAAATTTATGAAAAATGGGAAAATAAAAAAAAAAACTTTCCCTATTTGCAACCTGAGAATCTTGCTTTGGCCGAAGACGACGTGAAGATGACGAGAGAGGTAGTGGAGACTAGAAAGGTACATCATCAATTTATCCAACAGTGATGATGAGGCTTCTGTGATGATGATGAAGATGGTGGTGGTAGTGATGATGTTGGTGATGCTCTGATGATGATGACGAAGATGAAGATGGCGATTTTGGTGATGATGTTGGTGATGATGGTGGTGATGCTCTGATGATGACGACGAGGAAGATGACGATGACAAAGATAAAGATGACGATGATGACGTTGGTGATGAAGATAAATATGTCGACGATGATGACGATGACGATAAATATGATGGTGATGATGATAAGAACGATGATGAAGACCGAAATAAACATGATGACGAAAAAGTTTCAAGATAAGATAATGATGAATGAATAAGAAAAAAGAATACATGACAAAAGGTGATAATATAATGATGATAACAAAAGATATGATAATTTTCAACCTTATAGAACTATCAAGAATTGACTACCCACCATGCACTCACCTAACCACACTCAGCGTGACATCATTTAAACTTCAAAACATCCATCTAGTTTCATCACAACCGCAAACTGAAAAACAATTTTCGAAAAAAAGTACCAATACCAAACAACTTCACACAACCAACTGACCGGCCAGTTTGACAACTTCAGACGAGAACCTTTTAACCAATTCGGTCACCATCCCCAAAAACACACCATCGTCATCCTTTTTGGGGGACCAACTTCTCCCCAAAGCCCCCTTACTACCCCCGTCATCATCATTCTTATCACCGTCGACACCGAAATCAATTTCTCGTTTGGATGTTGCCTTTTTGAAGATGATGACGAAAGATCGATACTTCATCAGGAAGAGAACTAAGCGTTCGCAGCTCTGTTGATGTGACGATGACGTGATGATGACGTCATGTCATGTGATGTAATGACGTTATGTCATGTGATGTAATGACGTCATGTCATGTGATGTAATGACGCGGGTTATGCGTGATGGAGATGATGGAGTCATTTCATGATTACGTGATGTTTTTAAGCGATTTGATGATGATGGTAATGTGATGATGATGATGATGATAATGTGATCATAAGGTGATAAAGTGAAATTACATCGTTTTTGCTGTCGGTGATGATGTGGTCACGTGACGTGACGATGACGTAATGATGACGTCATGCGATGTCAGGTCGAGTGGTGAGAATGTGGTGGTGATATGATTACGTCATGTGGCGTTATATAACCTGCATAACGATCTTTCCATCACAACTAATCCATTTGCCGCTATTCACACCCAAAGTATCAGACTTATCACTATCACCACCACCACCACCATCGCCACCACCACTACTACACTTGCGACCACCACCGTAGTATCTAATACCCCCACATCTGGCAGTTGGCGGGAGCAAAGTGTACACTTGGTAGAGCTCTTTTGTGAAAGCGTCAAATAAGATTCTTCTGAATGTTGGTGTGGGGGTCTGGTTGGATGGGTCGTTGGATGGCGTTTGGTGAGAGAGAAGGGACTGCCAAGTGGGGGCCATGCCCTCTAAATGGGGGTCGTATTTGATGTTGGCTGTTGTGACGGTGATGATGTGAGAATATGAAACAGATGAAAATGATGTTAGGTGATGAGAATGGCGACAGAAGTGATGATGAAGATGCGATGATGAAATGATGGTGAGGAACCTGGAGAAGAAGCGACAGCGACAGGCTGCTGGCCACCACCGGCTGCTCGTTTCATGCTACCTGTGGTGATACAGTACGGTACGGTGATTGCAGCGTGCAACAGGTTTACAAATATAAATTGAGTTGCGGTTTGACTGGAGCAGCGTTTTATTATCATCATCATCATCACAATCATCATCATCATAATCATCATCATCACAATCATCATCATCATCATCGGCACCGACCTTTAAGACCTCCACTTCTTCCATTCTTTCTCCCACAGGACTGCCCCCTCCTACAAACATCCACCTCCTTCTGCAGGTCCACCAACACATCCACCAACCTCAACAACTCCTCCACCATTTGTTTATAAGCATCCTTCTCGCTCCCATCATCTTCCTCTTCCAAGCAGCCACTCCCACTCGTCGCTGGATTCACTTTCACCTTACCGGCCTTCACACAGACACCCTTCTGACATCTCGGTTCACTTTTAAGCTCGTGAAATTTGAAATTTTCCTGCAAGAAGTCTTGGACAGCTTGAAATATGACATTCATGTAGACCTCCTCGAGGAATCTGCTTGGAAATCTTTCCAGTAACAACATGTCGTCAGTCATCAGGTTGGTCAGCTGTGTGAGCCTCTGGGTGAACTCAGTCACTAAATTTTTAATGTCACCGTTGTCGGCTAGCGTAGCAGAACTGGAAGCAGTAGTCGTCGCTGAAGTAGCTGCAACTGCAGCTGTAGTAACGGCAGCTGGGTGGATGCTACTGTCGCTATTAGCATCGACTTTGCAGCCCAAATATGTTTTGAGTTTCTGGGCGTCGTTGTTGCAAATGAGTGAGATAGCATGATCGGGGTTCGAAAGCAAGGTGAGGTAATTGATGATCTGCAGGTGGTTGTGTCGGAGGAAGCTGGTGAAGAACTTACGAAGATGAAAAGTTGTCGGGTGGTGAAATTTGGTGGCTGATCTTTGGTGGCTGAATGGTTGGTTAGCTTTTGTCGATGTATTTGATGAAACTTGTGTTGTTGTGGTTGATGTTTTATCGTTAGTGGCAGTAACGATTGTTATTGTCGTCGTTCGGTTGGTTGTCGTTGAAGTGTCGGCAGTTGCGCTTGTATTCATTTCATTTGAAGCTGGAGAATTCAAACGACTGTCCTGCCACATAACTTCCTCTTCAGCCTCACTATCGTCATCAGCCGTAGCAGCATCAGCAGCGGCGTCACCATCGGCAAACAAACGAAGGTAGGTCATACGGATGGTGGTGATGAGTTCGAGGAAGTAACTCTGAAGGGCTGCAAAGAGTTGATTCATGTGGGGGTTTTTTCTTGCCGAGGTTCTCGCACTCTCAAGGTCAAATGGAAAGTTCAAACCTTCAAAGGTCAAAAGTTAGTAATGTGGTTGATGAAATTAATGTTGTTGCCAAATTATTTTGTTCACTTTTGTCCAAGTTGAGAAACAATAAATCCATTTTTCAACAATTTAACTAGCATTCAAACTCTTTTTGCTACAAACAAAACTTTATCCAGTATACAATTAACATTAGAATATTGTATGTATGGGATGTACGTACATGCACATATTCATACACACATGATTAAGCAAGGTGAACCCTCATTACACACACACGCACACACACACGCACACACACACACACATACACACACTCACACGCAGACGTATAAATCTCGATTGAATGTAACGACAAACCTACCTACCTTCGCTGTACTGGATGTTGATGATAACTTCCATCAGATGTCTCTCCCTCCCAGAGTAACGTTCATGAAATTTCAACTAAATTTATTCGTTTTATTTTGATTATTATTTGTAAAGCTTTTGCCGAGTTGATTTATTCGATTTTACTTCAATTTCAAATGACATATAACTGAACTACTATCAAAAGAGTGACCAATCAATCAACTGACCAACCAACAAACCGTTTTCACCGAGTCGATCGAACAATAAACCAACTGACCAGCCAGCCAACTGACTGACCAACAAACATATTTATTTATTTGAAGAATAACCAAAAAAGATAAACTTGTGGATAGGCCACCCTTAACTAACCAACCAATCAACCAACAAAACAAAACAACCGACCAACCAACCAACCAACCAACTAGCCAAACAATCAACCGACCAACTCACAAACTCCTGATACGGCAGCCCATTATGATCCTGCGGCACTGAGCAGACATTTTGAATATCCTTCTGGAAAAATTTGTCGACAGCATCAAGCAGTTGTTCATCATTTGTGTTCATCCATTCTTTCAACGTTCTGCTTAGCTCCGACCAATTCTGAGACAACCTAATTTTTTTAATTAGTCAGTTGGTGAAGTGTCACGTATGACGTTGTTTCTGTTGTTGCTTGCATGAAAGAATGATTGTTTGTTGTTGGAACAGTTTACCGAACATGATGTGCTCGAACTGTAGAATTTCTTAATGGAAACTTCGAAGTTTTTTATATCCAATAATGAATGGATCGAATAGTTATCACTATATGTAAACTGAACACACACTTAGCTCGTTTTTTCGGATGCGTTGCCAATATATAGTGAATAAAGCAGTTAATTTTATTTTTCACTTTCGTTGTGGGCTGTATTTTTACAATTATTAAAAATCAAGTAGACTCAGCTTTTAGTAAAAAAAATCGACCAAAAATTGAAGTGATAAGCAAATAAAAAAGAGGTCACCAGCCTAATTCTACGCAAACTAGTACAAATTTGCTGTTAGTTTAGTTTATTGCCCCTCTCACGACAAATTTCAAAATTTTTTCCTTTTAAAGTGTTAGCCCTGTCAAAGTTGTCTAGAGATCCGACTCTGATGTGTGTAACTAATTTGCTGAAGGGGGGGTACAACAGTTGATTGTGATGAAGACACCTCTGGCGAGGTCGAGATTGCAATGAGGAAAAGTGATGATGACTGATTGATAATGAGATGACGTTGAAGATAATGGCGAAAGAACAAAATTGATGATGGCATATGATGATGCAGTCAGAAGATGATGCTAACACGTGGTTATGTAATGATGTTGATGCAATAATTTTTTGTAATATTATTCTTTGAAAATCAGAATCTGACAGAAGCAAGAAACCGGCAATGGTTTGAATGATAAAGAAAGATAAATAACGGAGCGAGAATGTTTATGCTTGAGAAGATGAAATAATAAAATGATTAATTATATAACTAGTTAATGACTTAGTAAGTAAGTCACGTGATGAGTGAAAGAAAAGAATGTTCAAGGAGTAAAAATGTTTAAGTGCGGAAAGTAAAAACAATTTTTTGAAAAAACGACAAAAAATAAATAGAGTAATTAATCAGTATTGTAGTGCCTGGGTTTGAATGCAAGAAGTTCACCAGCTGTCATAGGCATTGTCTGCTACGCAAGTCTCATGTGTTATTCATATACACTGTGTGTGCGTGTGTGTGCGTGTATGTGTGTGCGTGTGTGTGTTGCTGTTGAAAACTGTGATGCCAATAAGAATAAATAGCTACAACAACAAATGTATCATGCACAGTTTTTTTTTTAAAAATGAACTGACGTTCTCAAACTTCTTACTTACAGCTATTGTATATCATATACAGTGAATGGATATATATATATCTATGGATACAGGATATATCTGAAACAGTATAGCAGAGAAAATAAAATGATCTAACTCATCACGCAGTTGGTTACTTTGCACTGCAAGTTGCTTCTGCATTCTTCTTATCTCCTCAACCTCCGCATCTAGCCGGCCAACATCCAAGCAATGCTGGTGGCCATTGTTGGGCTGCTGTTGGGTCAGGGGAATTTCCATGGTCGCAGACGTTGTCGTTGCTACATCCATCAAGATTATTAATTATATTATAGTACTAACAACTATTTGTTATTAATTAAACTACAGTACATTTTCTTACTAGCTTCAAGTTCTTAAACATAAAATGATTCCATTAAAAATAAAATATTAAAACGTTACTGATAACTGATTTTGATATAAGTGATCCGTTGAGAGACATTTTAATTTTAAGCTATTAAGGTTTGTTTTGTTTTAGACATTCCTTTACAATTTTACATTTATTTTTTCATCATCAAATGCTTCTTAAATCTTAAAAAATTTAACTTACATTTTACATGCTTAAATAATTTTAATTCATATGAATATATGATTTTTGTAATAAACTTCAGCTTCAACAAACATACCATATGAAGAATGTATTTCATTATTTATATTATATTGTATTATAATATAATAATTATATTATAATTATATAAAATAACATTATATAATCTGTCCCTCTCAAACTAATTTAAATTTTAAATCAAACACAAATATGGTTCATCTCAGCTGTTTTCTTCTTGTTAGTTAATTTAATTTTAATTAAAATTAAATTAATTATTATTATATCTCCATGAAATAAATTCTGATAAAATTTGAAATTTAAAAGTTTACCTTTTGTAGATGATTAATAGACGTTTATTGATAAATAATTGAATATAATAACGCCATTTAGATATGATAAACTGTTAATAAAAGCATCTTCATCATCATCTTCCTCATCTTCTTCTTCATCTCATTACCATTGTGCTATTCTCTTTGCTTCAGCAGCCAACAAGCAATCAGATGCCAAACTTTATAAATTATTGAATAATTTAACGTTAAAGATGGTAATTTTTTAATATAATTTTAAATAATTTTGTAATTTGAGCTCAATGGTGTTTCAAATTTCAAGTTTTTCAACTAAACTTTTTAAAAAAACTAAAATTGTTAACCCATCACTGTTAAATGTAAACATTGAAAATATTTAAAAATTAATTTAAATGTTTTTAAAAGTTAATTTAAAACGTTTTAGTTTATAGAAAGTTTTTAGTGGTTATTGATTAGTAATTTTAAATTTACTCATGCCACAAAATTTTTTTCAGTGTAAATTTTAATTTTAGTAGTTAAATCTTGATTTTTTATTCAATCATAATTTATTCAGTTGTCAATTGATTCATTTCAAAATTTTCAATCATTTAATTCATTTCATGTGTAATAATAATAAATATGTGTTATTTGTGCTATAATATAATTATAATGTTATGTACGTAAGTATGTATACTGTAATTTGTAATAAAAAAGTGTTACTAAAACGAAAATGTGTTGTTGTGGCATAAAATGTAATTTGAAAAAGTAGTAATGTGTAGTCTGTTAGTGTAAATTTGTAAAATAATGAATAAGAAATTAAATTTATTATTTTTATTTACTTTACATTATTCATTATTATAGATAGATGGATTAAATTTTAATCATTTCAACGTAGCACATTAGAACAAATTTGAATCTGAAACTGTTTTTTCAAAATGAGTAAAAAAAAAAGTGGACACAATTACAGTAGGTACGATGGAGATAGCGATGATGGTGGTTACGATGCAGACGACAACAACAGTTACCAAAAACTATTAAAATCAGAGAAACGCAAAAACCACTACAGTAGCCACACAGAATCTGATTATTTGAAATACAAATCATCAAACAACGCTAATAATAATAGCAGTTACGATAATAATAAGGATAATAATAAAGGTGGGGATGAGGGTATTTGCGACTACGAGTACTTCAAATCAATCTTAGACGAGGTATACTTCACAGAAGCCGATCAAATCGAAGTCGGTAGTCAGCAGTACCATGATTTCTGGGCCTTCCTCAAGAAGTACCAACAGTTCAAAAGATCAAAAGAGAGATTGAAAAGTAGAGATAAGGATGGCGAGAGAGCTGCTGAGTGTGTTAAATATGATGCTCGCTTTAAGAATAATCTCACATTTTCTCCATCTAGTGATAAGATTAAAAAGTTTCTAGTCAAACAGGTTTCTTTTTTTAGATAGGATTTTGTTTTTTTTTTAAGAACAACAAATTCTGTTTTTATTAATTTAAATAAAAGTTTTTCTCTGTGTTTCCATGTTTTTTTTGATTAATTTTTATTAAAATTATATTATTATTTAATTATTAATAATTAAAATTTTTATTAACTTTTATCAATACAATGAACAGGTTACTTTTAAATTAAATGTTATTCATTTATTATTTATGTTTTATTTGATTTTATTCATTAAATTTTCCTTCTTTTAATTTGACTACAGGTTTTTTGCTAAATATTTTTTTATGAAATTACTAATAAAATGAATATTCATCTTATTTTTTCATTTAATTTTACATTTAATCTGAAAATGATGAAATATAGAATAGCAAATGGACAAGCAGCTAGCTTAATTAGCATAAAATATGCATGGCCCGTCGTCACACACTGCACCGCAAGACCAGACGCCTTCACCATTACACCATCTTGATTTATTAATTAATTAATTAATTGATTATGTAATTAATTTAATTTTTCAAAAAATCTGTTTATTTATTCAGTTTATTATTTCATTTATTAATTTTTATTATTAATATTTTGTTATTGTATATTTATTTTGTTTAATAATTGAACAAAGGAATATAGAGGTAGATCGAAGCAGCTGTCGACTGACGGACTGAAAGAGTTTGAAGACATTCTACTGCACTACTTTGATTTCGTTCAGAAACAGAAGTTCAGCAGGCTGAAGAAGGTTAGGCAAGACCAGATGAACCTCCCAATCTATAAATATAAGGAGGGTATTGTGGATTACATCAAGAAACATCAGGTCTGTCTCTCTGTCTGTCTGAGTCTGTCCATCAGTCTTTATCTGTTTGTTTGTGTGTCTGTGTGTACTTGTTTGTCTGTCAGTTTGTTTCTTTTCACCGTCTTTGTATTATTCTAATTCACTAAATAGTTACTAATTGACCTAATTACATAGTTAATTTATGTTAATTTATTTATGTAGGTCATAGTGGTCGCAGGTGATACGGGGTGTGGGAAGTCCACCCAAGTTCCTCAGTACCTACTTGAAGGTCAATTGTTGCTATCATCATCATCATCACTGTTGTCATCATCATCATCATCGTCATCATTTTTCTCCACATTATCGTCATCATCGTTGTCATCATCATCATTGTCGTCAACATCATCTCACACTTACACACACACGCACACACGTACACACACAATCAAACAAACACATCAAAATGCAGGTGGTTTCACCAAGATAGCTTGCACACAGCCCCGCAGAATTGCTTGCATATCACTGGCGAAGAGGGTTTCGTTTGAGACCTTCAACGAGTATGGGTCCCAAGTGGCTTACCAAGTAACTATTGCCGTTGCGCGTGTACGGTTATACGTGTGCGTGTGTGTTTGTAGGTGTGTGTGTGTATATATATATGTGTGTGTGTGTGTGTGTGTGTGTGGTGTGTGTGTGTGTCCAAAACAACATCAACAAACCAAAAACAACAACCACAACAACAACACGTAAAAAAAATAGGTTCGTTTCGACCGCACGCGCACTAAGTCCACTCGCATCGTCTTCCTGACGGAAGGACTGCTGCTGAGGCAGGTTGAGAACGATCCCACTCTGACCATGTATGACGTCATCATCATGGATGAGGTTAGTTGGTTGGTCGGTCGGTCGGTTGGTTGATTGGTTGGTTGGCTGGTTGGTTGGTCGGTTGGTGGGTTGGGGTTGGTTGGTAAGTTGGTAAGTTGGCTAATTGTTTATTTGATTGATCAGTTAGTTATTATAGTTATTAGTTATTTACACTCAAAAACACTTGCACATCAGCACAGCCAAAAATTAACAAACAAACATACAAACAAACAAACACACAAACAAACAAACACACAAACACACAGACCACACAAGTACATACTACCAGCACACTCCAACACACACGTACACATACACAAGATATACAAACAACAAAGAAGACACGCACCTACAAATCAAACCACACACACGTCAAAAAACACCTAGGTGCATGAAAGGCACGTACACACAGATTTTTTACTGGGCGTGATCAAATGTGTCCTCCACCAACGACCCAACCTCAAACTCATTCTCATGTCTGCTACCATAAATCTGGAACTCTTCTCTAGGTTGGTTGGTTGGTTGGTTGGTTGGTTGGATGGTTGGTTGGTTGGTTGGATGGTTGGATGGTTGGTTGGATGGATGGTTGGTTGGTTGGTTGGTTGGTTGGTCGGTCGGTTGGTAGGTTGGTTGGTTGGTCGGTTGGTTGGTTGGTTGGTTGGCTGGTTGGTTAGATGAAAGAATATATGAATACATTAATTTGATAGATGAATGAAGGAATAGATGGAAAAATCAAAAGACGAATAGACGAATGGCTGGGTGAATGAATGATGGAACGATCGAATGCATGGATGTGAATGAATGAATGTGCATGGATGGGAATGAATGTAAAATTTTGAAGAGACAAACGAATGAATAAAACAATCAATAATCATTTTATTGGCTGGCTGGCAGATGAATGAATGAATGAATAAATAAATGAATGAATGAATGAATAAATGAATGAATGAATAGATGAATGAATGAATGAATGATTGAATGAATGAACGAATGAACGAATAAATGAATAGATGAATGAATGAATGAATGAATGAATGAATGAATGAATGAATGAATGAATGAATGAATGAACGAATAAATGAATGAATGAACGAATGAATGAATGAACGAAAGGTATTTCAACAACGCGCCTGTCGCCAAGATACCAGGAAGACTTTTTCCAATCCAACTGCATTATATGGCTCCTGATAAGTTGGTAAAGATGAGGATGTCATAATTCACCATAATTTCATTTTAATTTGCCACATAATTTCACTTTAATTCGCCACATTTTCACTTTATTTTGCCATGACTTCACTTTATTTTGCCATAACTTCACTTCATTACGTCATAATTTCACTT